ATATATATATATATATATATATATATAAATATACAACAACAACAATTAGTAGTTATTATTTTTTTATGTCTTCAAATATTGAGTATGGAAAAGTATCGACAAACTGAAAATGTGCAATGACTACAGTTGGTGCCATTTTCCTCAGATATCACTTCCCAGATATTGAGATGCGAAGCCCTGACCTGAAGCCCCACAGAAGCATAGGGCGGAAGGCTGTTCCTGGTCACGGTGTAAACCAGCAGAGAGGAGCCTATGGAGGGAAGGAGGATGAGAACCAAGCCTGGTTGGCAATGCTGGAGAAAGCCACAAGCTCAGTTCGCTACATCAGCCGTCACATTAAGAAGGAGCACTTCATAAGAGAGGTGAGGGGAAGGCGGACTGGAGGATTAAAAAAAGTCACATTTTTATTCTGTATAATCATTTGAGCTACAGTCTCCCTTCCAAACAGTTAAAAACTCCTGTCTGAGATTTATTTTGTTCCAACTCTGATTTTTGGGAAATAATTCATGTTTCTTTTTCATGTTGTGTCTCAACAGGTTGTTCAGGACTGGAAATTTGTGGCTCAGGTGTTGGACCGGATATTTTTATGGGCCTTCCTGACAGTGTCAATCCTTGGCACTGTTTTAATCTTTACGCCTGCTCTGCACATGTACATCAGCACACCTTCGTAAACTTAGCCTTTAAAAAATAAAAATTTCTCAGACTTTAAGATTTATTTAATAGATTATTACTGTGTATTCCTATTGTATAAAACTCAATAACCTCAGGCTCCAAACATCATGTTCTTAACGGTATGGTTTGCAGCCTCAAATTACTCCTGGAAACTGTAATGTTAGAAACTCAATCTACCCTTTATTTCAACCTGCATGTTCAGGGATGTGAAGAAGAATGAGCAATAAACATGGTAACAATTAGTGTGATTGAATTAAGCATCTATGATTATATGACCATAATGTTGCAGCTGTGAATGCAATAAAATGCACAAACATAACTTGATAAGGAATTAAATGTTCGGTGCACTTTTTTGTCACATTATTTGTATTTGTCTGTGTTCTGCACAAAAATAAATCTGCAATATCCTATGCTTTTCTGACTAAGAGCAATTTTATCACGACAAAGCCTCTGTTGTAAAACAAAAGTTTGACTAAATGAAATTGCTGACCTTAAATTGTTTTTTTTTCTATGTTCTAGCTTTTTTTGTAACTCCTAAATACATTTAAAATACATTCCTTAACTCTAAAAAAATAAACTGACTAGTCTCAAACACAGTCAGGTTAAATAGAAAATAACAGTAGCCTCTTTTGCAAACCTTACAAAAGGAATGGTGTTTAGTTAGAAATTTAGTTATGGACATTTTTTCACACTAAATTAATTCACTGATAAAGAAAAAAAAACATACATTAAAGTATCACTTAAAGCAAAGTTCTAGGGAAGTTCTGGTTCTAAGGGAACTTTACACAAGTTAAACCAATGTTTTACTCTGAAATGTAAATGCAAAGCTTGGTGTTTTAAATACAGGGACTAATTTAAAGAAGATAATTCAATCGGAATCTATAGAGTCACCAGAGCTGATAAGAAGGGTCTTACCTTAGGATAGGAGAATCTCTGTCTTTTCTAAAGTCTTATTTGCGTTTTTGCTATAGTGACATCAGTTTCCTCTCTCTCAGCTGGAAAAATGTCCTACTTCCACAGCAGTGGAAGTAGAATAAAAGTTAATGAGGTATGACAAATAGCATCAATGAAATTTGATGTGCGTAACACAGATGTTATTAGTGCATCACAATGTATTAGATTGAAGGAGATCTTTTGTGATGGTAAAATTTAGTTTTTGTAAAGTTTAAAGCCTGTCATGATCGGCACCAGTGATTATTTCTGTTTATTGCTTTTAGTTGATGTTGCTGTTACCCTGGTTCCCTTAGTGTCCTCTAGGTTTAATCCATAGTCAGCTAATATCCATTGGACACGTGCCAGCCAAGGTCTTTTTGTTTTTGTTCTACAGAAACCCATGAAAAAGGTTCGCTCACTAGTTTTTTTTGCCTTGGACATCATTAAGAAAAAAAATCTGCTACTATTTATAAACGTATGTTTATGCCTTCAAGGAAGATCAGAAAAGAAAAAATCTCTTTGTTTTCTGGCAGAAGCAAAAATCTAGTTCAAGGTCTAATGTATATCCTCTTGAAGAAAATACAGTTATTGTCAAAATCCAATAAGAAAACTAAACGCAAAGGTGAAACTGGATTAAATAAAAAACTAAATATGGATAATTTCAGAAGCTTACTAGCAGAGTTCTCAACCAGCAGAGTAAAACATTTCACTTCAAACTAATTTTATGGCATCTTCAGATTAAAATAAAACCACCCATGGTTTACGAAGCTCCAAAATACAATTTCCAGCTAATGAAAAGACTCATTTCATGAAAAAGGACTTTAACAAAGGCTTTAAGCAGGAAACTGTGTGCATAAAGTGTGATTTCAAGGTCATTTATCTTACTGCACAGAAGGTTCTGATGTAATAATTCCTAGAGGAGCTGACTAAATCCTCTTGTTGCTAAATAAGGCAACTTTTTTCAGGTCTGGAGCAACAGTAGTTAGTTTAGCTAAGAAAGCAATCTTTCAGGGGGAAATCATGCAACTCTTGGTAGACACAATACCTCATGCTGAGTTTGATAACTTGTATCCACTGTAACAAAATATATGAGTAAATCAATTGATACAGAGAATAGTTTTAGAATTAAACTGAAAGCATTGTGCATTTCTTTCTGTTTCCTGGTAATTTGTGGTTACTGATCAGAAAAGAGCAGGTGTTTTTGTCTAATTACTGGCTGACATGGGAAGACACTGAGGTTACTGGGTTATTTTAAGAACTTCAGAGACTCCACATATAATGTTAAAAATGGGCTTTGGACTGATTTGATCTTACAGTATGTTTTCACCAGACACACCAGGAGCACAGCGCATCACACACAAGCTGATTTCATGCAGAGCATTCAGCTCTCAGAGCTGGCCAAATCTCTTGATTAAAGTACATACATTTATGTGGGCCTATCATTTCAGGTTTGTACTGTGTTTTGCAACTAACAGGTCTGTGTGAGGATTTGAGTCCTGCACTGGGTTGGTAGGAACCATTCAGCTACAGGATAAAGATAAAACAGTATTATTTAATGGATAAATAAACATGAAATAGTCGGATAGCATAAACACTCACAAGATGAATGCAAGTTATTACTTATATTTTCTCTTTTTTTTATTTAAATTATTTAATCAACAAAATAATTGAAGTAGGCTGGAAAATGGAAAAAAAAAAAAAAAAAAAAATTTGCATGCAAAAAGGCAGCACACATTATATTGAAGAAAACACAGGAGGGTGCATAGGATGTTTTGCTCTGGTGTAAATATCATGCAAAATGTTCCCCAGCCTAGCACTGATAAATGTGCTTACCATCTGCTGGGTTTGTGATTCTTGAGAGGAGACTGCAGCATAACTCATCCAGTGACTGTGGAGGGTATTCTTTTTCTGCACAGCAAACTTAGGAGAAAAGCCTAAATATTATTTATTGAACTTTGCTCAGATGGCCCAATTTAACCAAAGATTTAGTCAGAACAAACTCTTTTCATAAAACTTTAAGAGTGTTCACCCTGCTGGTCCAAAAATTCTCACTTTTAGTTGGCACAGTTTGCTTTAACATAGTGATGGGGATGGCCGTCCTTTTGACTGAATTGTTATCAGTAGAACCAATTTTTTATTTTTTTTTTTACAAATGGTTAAAAAATTTGTTTATCCAATCATTCAGGTTATGCAACTATATTTTTGTTTTAACAATTATAATGGGGAATAAAGATAAAATAATTGGCATCATGCATTCAAGAAAACCCCTTCCAGGCTTCAGAATAAATTGACCTGACCCCTAGAGTTGTAACTGGTCCAGGGTGTCCTTCTTTGGTCCATTTCAGGTCCTGGATGGTAATGAACCTCCACTAGAGGACAGTGTTGGACAGTCCTTCAAATCAGGTAGTGGATAAGTCTGCTAACTTGCCCTTAAGTCCTTAACATGTGCTGCCTGCCTCCTGAGCCCTTTTTCCTTGATGTATGCTTCAATTTTTCATTGAGGACTTAAAAATTACGTAATTCAGTTAGAGTACAGGAATATATTGAGCAATTTTATAACTATAATGATACTTATACAACTACATCCCAGAATCATTTGGGGTAAACAGGAGTAGAAGTAACAGTTTCAGAGTTTGAACTTAATATAGGGGGGATATCAAATACATCTGTTTATAATAGCATTGCTAGTTTCAGTAGAATAGATTTAAGCCGCGAGACCACTAAAGGCTGTTATATGTTCAGATTCAAATTCATCATTGATCTGTTTATTATGACACCATTCAGTAAAGAGCACTGGTGGCTGGTCCATAGAGGGCGCTAGGGTGCTGCCCCACCCGCCCAATGACCTTTATTAAGGCATAAAAAAAACAATTAAAATGAAATTAGAAAACTTTTATATTTTTACATATATTGATAATTAAAGTGTTTTTAGAATGTTTTTTTACTGGTGTGATAACTTAGTTTACATTTGATTGGTTTTTGGTATACCTCTATTTTGAATGTTTAGCCCCCCCTGGAGAAAGCTCTACCAGCAACCACTGGAGGATGCAGTTCTTTTGTATGACCAGGAGACAGACATGGGTAATGTGGAGTCAACAAGTCATCTCCATGTAATGTATTGAATCTACCCAGCCAATTAACCAGGTGAGTCCAATCTGCACAGGTTAATTCACTGTGAAGATTGGACTCACCTGCTTCAGTGGCTGGGTAGAACAAATACATGACATGGAGATGACTTGTTGACTGCACATTCCCCATGTCTGCCAGGAGAACCAACAAAACAAAAGATTTGCCTCTACATTTACTAAAACTACAGCCACTTGTCAAGAAAGTCTTACTTTCTATGTTTGTGTTGCAATAGAAATTGCTATTTATAATTACAGAGAAGCAGGTCAGTTATTTATTGAGACAGACATCTTTGTGTTTTGGTAGCGCAGGGACACTTGTGACTGTAAAGATTGCCATTACAGTGAATGTGATGCAAATTAGCCCTATATAAAATATTTGCCCTACACAGACTGATAAAAATTCTATTTCTAAATGTATCTATATAAATTAGACCTGCACTGGCCACAACAGCCATTGTGAAGATGACCATATTCAAATTGCAGTCATTGTGTTGTTCATGAGTTTCTCTGAGTGGGCTTGCATCTTTCGTCTGCGCTTGGTCCATGTTTGTTTTGGTCATTTGGTCATTCAAGGCGGAAAGACAGTTAGATTTAACAAAACATTTATTTAACCTGTGTTCTACTCTGCAGGAGAACACAGGTTAGTGACCATGTCTATCTGGCAGAGGATGATAATGAACATGAGTCACTAACCTGGTCTTAGAGTTCAGTCCAAGCTCAGAGGATGAAAAAGTTCCTAGTAGGTAGGCTGCCAATGAGACACGGCGGGTACCGCCCAGATAATCCCAGGCGCTGGTCTCTCAGAGGTCAGGGCACAGGCAGGAAATCAGAACTGGTGTCAAAGATGGTGTCAAAGACGTGCTTGTTAGTCAGAGCCAGGAGATCAGAGGTCCAAAGAGGATCCGAAGGGAAATTCAGAACGGAGTCGGGGAACAGTTCCAGGTTCGGTAAACAGAAAGGCAGAAATCCAGCAGGGGTCCGAAGACACGGGGACAGGCAGTCTCAGAAGACAAGAGGTCGAACGGGTCAGCATCAGACAATCAGAACGTTAGAGAACTCTCACCAAAGGCTAGAATAATCTGGCACTGATGACTGGTTTGAAGGCTGGTTAAATACGGGCTGAAGAAGCAGGTGGATCAAATGAACGATAATGAGAACTGGGCAGAGATAGGTAAGTATAAAATTACTAATCAGACCAGTCATCAGCGCCAAGATCATGACACACAGTGCCAAAACAATGGGACGAATCATCCAGACAACAGAGGTAAAGTGGGACTGCGTTCTGGAACTCAGGCAGTAGCAGCGGCAAATCAGTGCAAGAGCAGAGGCTGAGAGAGCTTTAGC